CATGATGATAGTGAAGAAAAGACCAGTACAAATTGTTGGTATCATAGAACATATGGGTCAAATGCAAAAAATTGCAAGCAGCCATGCACATATGGCACAAAAAACTAAAACCGACTTCGTCTACGGCGGCAGAGGAAGTTGTAAACGAAACATCTACAAGACTGTTCGTCTATGACAATAAGACAAAAAAATCATTCCTAATAGACACGGGTGCAGATGTTTCACTTATTGCCGCCAAACAAAAAAATTCAAATACAAACAATAAGAACGAAAGAATACTCTACGCAGCAAATGGTTCTATGATCAAAACATTTGGAGAAATAGAGATAACTCTAGCTCTTGGCTTACGAAGAAATTTCACATGGCCATTTATTATCGCAGATGTAAACACTTCAATCATCGGTGCAGATTTTTTAAATCATTTCGGATTAATAGTAGACATAAAAATGAAACGATTGATCGACACATCAACAAAGATTTTCTCAGCCGCAAGTGAACGTAAGGTAAATGCGCAAAAAATATCAACTGTGAACACATCTTGCAAAATTGCAGATCTACTAAAAGAATACATCGACATCACTAAACCAACACCGACAAATCGCCAGGTGACCAAAGTCACTCACCACATATTAACAAAAGGTCCACCAATATGTGAGAGACCACGTAGGTTACCTCCAGACAAGCTAGCAGCAGCAAAAGAAGAATTCCAAAACTTAGTCACAGCCGGAATATGCCGTCCATCAAGCAGCAATTGGGCTAGCCCCTTACATATGGTAAAAAAACCAGACGGTAGTTGGAGACCTTGCGGAGATTACCGTCGCTTAAATGCAATCACCATCCCAGATCGTTACCCAGTTCCTCACATACATGATTTTGCACACATGTTATATAACCAAAAAGTTTTTTCAACCATCGACCTGATTAAGGCATATCACCAGATACCAGTTGAACCGGGGGATATTCCAAAAACGGCGATCATAACTCCATTTGGATTATTTGAATTTACTAACATGACATTCGGACTTTGCAATGCAGGTCAAACATTTCAACGCTTCATTCACGAAGTATTACGAGATCTCGAATTCGCCTTTGCCTATATTGACGACGTCATTATTGCATCAGCAAACGAGGAAGAGCACAGGCAACACTTGCAACAAGTATTCGAACGATTCAGAAAACATGGTTTAATAATAAACGTATCAAAATGCGTTTTTGCTCAAAACACAGTAAAATTTCTTGGTTATCTCATCAGTGAAAAGGGCATTCAACCTCTACCAGATCGAGTGAAGAGCATCAGCGAGTACCCGCTTCCAACAAAAACAAAAGAATTAAGAAGATTTCTAGCATTACTTAACTTTTATCGCAGGTTCGTACCAAACGCTGTAGATTCTCAAACTGCACTTCAACAAATGATAAAAGGAAACAAGAAGAACGACAACACACCGTTATGCTGGACCGAAGTGAACAAAACAATCTTCCAAAAATGTAAAGATGAACTAACAAACTCGACACTACTTGTTCATCCGTCAAAAACTGCTACGCTTGCATTACAAGTAGACGCCTCGGATAAAGCTCTCGGCGCAGTTCTTCATCAAGTGACAGACAGCACGTTCCAACCACTCGGTTTTTTCTCTAAACGATTAACAGATACACAAAAACGATACAGCACATACGATCGTGAGTTGTTAGCCGCATATCAGGGCATAAAACATTTTCGACATATGTTAGAAGGTCGTGAATTCGTATTAATAACTGACCACAAGCCACTCACGTTCGCATTCCAGCAAAAGTCCGACAAGGCTTCACCACGTCAAGTCCGTCAGCTTGATTATATAGGTCAATTTACAACGAATATCGTTCATGTCAGCGGAAAAGACAACATCCCAGCAGATTTTCTCTCGCGGATAGATAGTATTAGCATCCCAAAAATCGACTACGATTGTATAATTGGATTACAACGATGTTGCCCACAACTACAAGATATCAAAAACAACAATTCCATCGAAATCAAACTTTTATCTTTACCAACAATATCAGATAAAATTTATTGCGAAGTTTCAACTGGGCGAATTCGTCCTTACATTCCGCAGAAATACCGGCTACATATCTTTAAAGCTACGCATGGGTTGTCTCATCCCAGCATTCGGGGCACAACAAAAATGATAGCTGAAAAATTTTTCTGGCCTTCTATAAATGCTGATATCAGAAACTGGACCCGACAATGTATCCCATGCCAACGTTCTAAAGTGCAACGTCACAACCGTTCACCTATTTGTCAATATGAACTCGCTGAACACAGATTCGAACATATAAACATAGATATCGTCGGCCCGCTACCACCATCAAACAACTGCACATATATATTAACCATCATCGACCGTTTCAGCCGATGGCCAGAAGCAATTCCGATCCCAGATCAAACAGCGGAAACCATCGCAAACGCACTGATTACTCAATGGATCGCACGTTTTGGCGTACCCTTACGTATCACAACAGACCAAGGAAGACAATTTGAATCTTCATTGTTCAACCAACTAGCTGAAGTTATCGGTTGCAAACACTTACGAACTACGAGTTACCATCCTCAAAGTAACGGAATGGTGGAACGATTTCACCGCACATTAAAAGCAGCCTTAATGTGCCACCAAACAACTTCTTGGACAGAAGTTTTACCAATAGTATTGTTAGGTCTACGCACGACTTTTAAACCAGACATTGGAGCTTCTGCTGCTGAAATGCTATATGGCCAAACTCTACGTTTACCGGGCGAAATAGTAAGCAACCCTAGCCACAGAAATATAAATCAACACGATTTCATAACCAAGCTAAGAGAACAAATGCAGAGCGTCAAGGCAACGTTGGTATCGCATCATATAGACCGAGGCTACCACATTTAACCGGCTGTAAGCTCAGCCACGCATGTATTTATACGAAATGACAAGGTAAAACCACCATTGACCACCATTGATTGATGGTCCTTACCAAATACTAGAGCGAAATGACAAGACGTTTAGAATACTGATCGAAAACAAAGAACAAACAGTTAGCATAGATCGTCTTAAAGCTGCTTTCATATGTCCCGATACAGACATTGACATCCACAACAAATCAATGGTATACCACACTCCAAACAACGTTAATGGCGACCAGTCTGTGCGACCAAATACAACAGCTAACCTGACAAAATCAGGACGCAACGTTCGCTTTCCAACCAAATTTAGTGACTCCATCACTTAGGGGGGAGTACTGTGGCAGCACCAAAAAATATAAATAAAAGAACTGTCAACAAGGCACAAAGGAGACAACAATAGCCGCAGTTCCCGCCAGTAGTAGTTTGGAAAAAGACAAAGCAGCACGTGAATAAAACGTAAAAACACAAATCTTAACTTTAAGAATATTTTATAATAACTAAGTATAAGAAATAAATAAACTTATCCATTACCAATACGGAGTGTTCAATTCGAAATAAAACCCAACATAACAAACCACTACATAGTCTTTATAAAAATTGATTCAAATGTACATTTGAAGAGTGCACGCCATCTTTCATGATTGTAAAATCGCAGCACTTGAAAATCTACAGGGGTCCCAGGTAGATATTGTGACAAATTGCAAATAAAGATCTTTAAATGGGAGTAAATAAGCAGGAACTAACTCCCTTTCTATAATAGGCATCACCTAGTTAAGTCAACAATATCAACTCATGAACGGAGTATAAAAACTACCTTGAATGTACTTGATGAAGATAATTAAGAAACATATCTGGAAAAATCATTTGCTACCGAAAAAACATTGTCAAAATTATTGCATTCAATATTCGACTAACTGAATATTGTATTGGAGTGTAGTGACTCTACAATGTCAGTCTCCTGCAATTCCCTAAAATTTTAGTGAGTACAATTGTAGTAGGTTGATAATATTAAAAGTAAACCAAATGATGATTTTTGTTTACGATTGCAATGGAAGGCAAAGGAGAAATATCAGATAAATCCAACAAGCAAAGTATAAAAGTAAATTTTTTCGTCTTGAATAAGACGAAATAGTATAATCTAGAAAACACCGGTATTGATCAATCCCTAAAGCATGAATCTGCCAATTAATTTTCATAAAAATGCATGTTATTATAATATAGGAAAATTGATAATTGATAATAATTTATTGTGGTAGCGCCTGATAGCATATTCGACAGTTGAACGGAAGATTGAATCTAAATTAAAGGGGTCTAGGGTTTACTTTGAGTAATAGAACAATATGCATTATTTTTAAATTTAACAATATTTTTTAAACTGATTCATTTAAAGAGTCTACATATTGGGTAAAGTAAACTCATTTAATGTCACAAAGTTGTCTTAGGAGCTTTAAAATTGAAATGTATTCATTACTTGTCCACACTACTTGTACACATTAGTACTTATATATATACGCATATATGACATATCAAGGTCATATCAAGGAATAATTAACCGAAGATTTTATATTATATACAATTCTGGATATTATGTCAAATAACCTGAGAAGTTATCATAAATCGAAAAAGTAAAATTATCAATCATAATACACCATTTCATCATATATTTAAATTTGGTGTTCACCACTTTAGTTCGTATACAAATTTATTAGAAAATTTATTGTACTTGTACAGCAAAAAGCTGTTTTATAACAGCACTATTTTTACAAATTCGAACATCATACTGGATTGATAGCATTGATAGTCATTAAGAGAGGAAAAACTGTTTTGTGCCAGTTTAATTGCGGTTATTAGCAATTCTATCATATCTAGTTAGTGAACAAAAATTATTCTAGTAATTTAGTGTTTCTATCAAAATGTTTGCTCTATAAATTGAAACACAATCAAAATATATTTCACAAGATTTAGATTATACAGCTGTCGGAAAAACAGAAATCGTTATTTATACAAAACGAAAAATGAATCAACTATAAGGAGGTGGTTTTTTCTTTATATCCCATGAAGATCAACTAAGAAAAAAATCATAGCTTACCTGCACTTGAAACATTGTCACTGAATCGTCAAGCATTTGTATGCGTACGGTCAATTTTTTACCGCCACGATGACGAGGCGTCGATGGTGTACCATCGACTCCAGATGGTGTGCTTAACGAATGTGTCATACGTCCGCCTGGAACGCCGGTACCAATATCAAGACCACCACCGACGCCACCTCGAGTCGCTGTACCCATATCGGCCAAAGACATTTTGTAGACGAGAATGTTTACTGATTTTATTACTATATATATGTAGGTATAATTATCGATTTATTTTATCATGTATATACTTAATTATTATGTTTTGATTAAATGCTATCGAACATAATCATTTGTTTGATTTCTTTTTTTAAGTTAAAATTTGATTTTAGAATTAAATATTATATTTTTAACAATTAAATTTATTTTAAAACTATATTGCACCGTGTTTTGAATGAATTTCGCCTTTTTAATTGCGTTTAAAGATTTCGTTTTCGGTTTACACATAAATCGCTGCCAGATACTTGATCTTCTCCAGAATTACTGTAGCCAGTATGTGGGTGATTAGTTTGAAGTTTTTTTCGAGTTGATTTTTAGATACGATTTCGTTCGAAGTATTGCGCTCTTTGTATTTTTATAAGTTAAACAATTTTTTGTTTCCACAAAATTGTTTAAAACATGCAAGAGATAAAAATATTGAATTTGGAATAGAATTGAAGTCTTCAGGAAGCAATAGTATCATTTGTGTTGCTATATGTTTTACGGTTAGCTTCAGATGTTTCTAAATTTTTCGTATTTTGTGGTTTTTAAAGCTTTTAAGTAAAATTTATATTGACGTGTATTTATAGTGGTGCTGTATTCTTTTTTTATTTTTTTTTTATTTTTTACTTTTTAAGATATTTTAAATTTTATAACGTGTTCTTGTTGATTTTGTAGAATTACTGAATTTCTTCATTATCATTGATATTTCAAGTCGTGCATGTCAAATCTGCATCGCAACTGAAATTAAAAAAAAATTGATATTTTTTATTAAAATATACAAAATTGAAATAAATTTTTAGCATATGACTAATAAATATAAAAAAAGCACATATATTTTCTAATCTATATATATGTATATATATATATAAATAACATGCAGATCTATTGAATGGTAACGAGTTTATTTAACTAAATTTATATATATTCTTAACAAATGGACTCATAACCGTTTAATTGATGTGATGTATAATGATGTAAAACATATATTGCGTAGTTTCTATACCCGGATATATAATTCTATATAAAGCAGCAGAACTATAATATTTTTCATTAGAATCAGTATTTGAAGTTCACACCATCCACAAAAAAAAATTATTAAAATCCAAAATTTTTCTAAACACCGAAAAGGTCTATATAAACAGACAAAATATGTATTAATTTTTAAAGTTTCTACTATATGAAAAGGTTTGTCCGAATGTTCTTCTTACGCTAAATCGATCTGAATGATATTTATACTATGTGATCTACATAAAAGGACGCAATTAATTTACGGCTATATATAGTTAATATCGACGAAGTTTTCCTTCTATATATAAATGGATGAACAATTGTATTCTTCCATTACACAAATTGGCATTTAAAATTGGGTGCTCATAAATAAATAATAAAAACGGATGACGAATGGTATTAAGGTAAGAACTTTCAATGGATAGTCGTAAGGAGATATTGATCTGATCCCACGCATTTTAATTATTCCTATCATTTACCTAGGTTACAAATAAACTAAATAATATATTTTAAGCATATTATTGTTTTATAAAACTTAAAATTGAAGTATCAACATTTTTTTATTAAAATCATTTGTTTCCTATGAAGAGTAACAACATACACAGAACATACACAACTAGTTTAATATAATTCAAATAAAAAGTTAAAAGATTTTCTTGTAAGCAAATATAAAATATTTGCTAATATACTATTAGCGTATAGGCAGTCAGAAATACTAAGGCTGGTATCCAATGCTAATAAAAACATCTTAGATTTCATTAAGAATGGCTTTTGCGATTATACATCAATGAAGTATCTTAAAATGAGTTTCTTATTAACATAGATACAAATATTTTTATAAAACTAACTGCTTAATATTGATATCTCTCAGACAATTTTAATATCTTCACTGAAATTTAAATTTTATTTTCATTAAGAGCAAATAATTTCAACTAAAGTAAATCAAACTTAGAAAACTTCTTGAATATGAAATCAGTAAATTTTGCTATAAAAGGACTTAGTAAATGCAAAATTAATACAAAGTTACAAGGATATATAGAGTATAATCAAGAAATTTCCGCTGGCAACTATCGACAATTTGAAAATACTTGAAATTTGTTTTAGTTAAAGTTTCGACATAGCTAAGACAAATTTGTAAAACAGAAACACTTCAAGCAAAAAATGTCAAATATTTATATAGTATCTTTTGAATTATTTATGGAGCATTGTACGAATGTTCATTTGGCATCCATTTGAACTTCATTTAAACTTCAGAAACTTCGCCATATGTTACAAAAAAGAACAACGTCAGCAAAATTATTAACAAAGAAACAAAGATCGCCAGCATGCAAAAGAACCACCAACTTCACATCACAGAATCGTGGAACATTGCCTTTCTTCTTAATTAAGAACATCAAACAACTAAGAGCAGATGCATTAAAAAAAATCAAACAACACAGTTGCAGATACTCAGCTACTATTTAATATGGGGTGTACACTGTTACAGAAAATAAACAGCCAACATAGCTGCACATTTACACTTAATAGACTTCTCTGTGGTACACCCATAGCAGCGTCAGTAAGAAATAGGCTTGCATTCGCTGTGCTTCCTTTTTCTTTATAGAAAAAAATGCTTGTACATGATTTAATTGCCGCGCAGCATCTCATGCCAATATTACATCAACATCTATGCATTCCATGCATTGGATTCGTTGCTGTTTCATGCCAAAACGCAATGCTGCACTTCTAAAATAAAATAAGTAAGTAAAATAAGAAGTAAAAATAGTTCTCGTAACACTAACGAAATTCATAAAACAATATACAAATCATTTTAATGATGGAAGAGGATGAATGCTGTGTGAAGTACAGAATACTGGACTGTTTTGAAACTAAAAAAAATAGGTATGATTTTAAAGCTTGCAATTTTGAATGCATAATTTTCAGTTGGTAAAATAGTGAGTCATATAACTACTTTTACAAAATCATATATAAACATGTAGTTTTATATATTTAATTCAATCCAACTCAAACTGCAGATACTGTAGAGAAGATACAGAAACTCCATACCATGTGGTTGGGGAGTAACTGGTGCTGATGCACAAGCGGAAGAAACACCTCGGAGGCTATTTCATGGAACATAAGGATTCAAGAATAAGAAAGATAGGTCCTATACTGTCTTTCATTAAAGATATCAGACTTGGAGAAACACTCTAATCCAACTAGGGGGCACAATAGATCTTTTAGATCGCAGTACACTATCCCTTCTTTTTCAATAATAATAATAATGCATTTAATATAGTCCGCAGTTAATCATATTAATAGGGAAAATCATTTTAGTTACTTAGATTCATAAAATTATAGGATACATTTTTTTTCGTTTGCTATCTTATGGTTACGTGAGAGAAGCTATCAGGTCCTGAAAAAGAGAAACTTTTTGGAAGTTACTATTCGAATACAATAGGAATCTATAAAGATTGTACCAAAACTGGCAAGTTAAATTCTAAAAAACCTTTTCAGTTTCGCTAAAAAAAAATCTAGATTCATAAAAAATATTTGTAAGTTTATTATAAGGTTAAATATCAGATTCAGATTTGTGTTGCTTTATTAAAAAAAACTTAATCTTACAAACTTCAATTACGAATGAGTTAATCATAGAAACGTCTTCTGATATTATCTATGAATAGGTTAATTGTATGATCGTTATCTTATATTATCTGTGAATGATTTAATAATCGAAAAGTCATCTTTAATATCTACAAATAACTTAATGATGGAAACTTTATTTTACATTAAGAATGACTGCATTTCAATGCAATACGTCAAGATTGCATGACGTAAGAATAAGTTGTAATTATAAACATTTTATTATTAAATGTTTGGAATAAATTAACGTAAATTCATTGTATGCATTAAAGTCTTTTATGTTTAAAAAATACATTTAGTACAATCGATATTTAAATTATATATATTGTTATTCTTATCAATTTAATTTCAATTAACACAGAAACATCCTAACACTACTACAAAAAAATCATGGTTATATTCACAAAGAACAAACAATCGCAGTAAATCACAAATCGATATACAATATATTGCCAAAGTCAATATACAAGGATGAATTAAAAAATGAAACCTGGTTAGTCCGATACATAGGTTAGGTTAGGTGATAATAATAATAATATATTAATAATAATATATTAATAATAATATATTAATAATAATATATTAATAATAATATATTAGTAATAATATATTAATAATAATATATTAATAATAATATTGATATCAGCTTTGAAAAGTTGTTTTGGTTTTTGCCTCAGGTTCTGTGAATTGTTAGAGCGGTCATTGAAAACAACAAAAGGAAGTCAGGAGATTCGTGTTATAAATAAAAATAAGAGCCGTGGACCTTAATCTTCATCCATATTCAGTAATTTGGATCACAAATCAGAAGAGTTGATTATTGTTATGTAAAATTCAGAATTGACAGTCTTATTCGGATTAAATCGTCATTATATGGTTACACCTTGATCTAAGGTGTAATCAATTAATTTACACAGACAACTATTTTCTTTTAATTAAAAAAAACTAATAGGTACCAAAATACAATAAATTTGTATATATACGAATATATTCATATAAGGTACTGAAATTATTAAGTGTTAACAGTTGCAAGCCCCTGTTAATGTCAATATCAAAAATGTTCGACATGTGAGTCGGCAGTGCAGTTGTTGTGACTAGTCATCCACATGTCTAAAACAGTATAAAATGTGCATTTGTAACTAGGGAAAAAATGGCCATAGTTCTATGATACATTTATATTTTGCTTACAATATTTAATCGCAAAAGAATTTAAATATATGTGAATCCAAAATGGATATATAATTTTATATTTCTTAGAAGACTATACAAAGTACTGTATTGCAAAGTTTAAATCGCCTCCAAAAAGAAACAGACCTTCAGTATTGCTGGCAATGTGTTGCCCAACATTAAACAATTTGGTTGCTTAAAAAATTAAAATAAAAAAGATTATACCTAAAAGTTCATTGTTTAAAAACCAAAATTGTTTCGATAACGTAGCCCATATTTACAATATTTAATTACAAAATCAAGGAAAAAAATTTTTTTAAATATACAGATAAACATATATGTATTAGAATTGTTAATGAAAGAATTTTAAATTGTATTCAATTGAAATCTAATTTTGTTTTATATCAAAATGATTAAAAAATGTGTTTATGCATCGAAATGCTGTAAATAATTTTTTAATTAATAAAAAAAATATAAAAAAAGTTATAAATTTTTTAAAAATAATTTTAGCACATATAATAAATAAAAAACATGAAGAATGCTTAACATTAAGCAAGAAATTATGGAAATTCATACATTAAAAATTATCTCATTGATACTGAATATTAGATTTCGGAGTGGAGTGATCGGAGTGGTTTATGTTCCATAATCACCTCTAAACATAGTCAAAAAGAACGTATAACTAACTTTTCTGTCAGAATATCAACGTTAATTAAAAAATAAGATCCAAAATAGTTTCAAGGACTGGTGAAAGGATAAAAATCGAATGGTAAATATATAATATTAATTCAATATACTTTCTAAAATCACATTTTCAAAGAGAATCCAAATAAAATAATTCGGCTAGATAAAAATAATATAACTTTTATCACCGAGACAAGAAGATGACATAACTATACCGCGAAAATTGACTAAGAACTTGATTATAGATATAATAAGCATTA